ACAGGTCCAATGCGGTGTGTGCTTGATTACGCGCTAATGCAGAGCACGAGCCGGGGGATGGCCCTAATCCCCACACTTTCTGCAAGGTACGGATTAACGCTTAGGTACGAGCAAAGACCTAAATCGCTCGCCTCTCATTGGGAAGGAAAACCTTCAGTGGACTTGCCAGCATTGGATTTGAGAAACTAGGTTATGGCGAAAGGAGGGAAGTCGCGCGCCATTTTCCTTCCATTCGCTTATGCGCTAAGCTTCTCCTTATCTCCATACAGCTTAGCTCGTTTGCTCCGATGGAACCTTAAACATAGGAATAATAAATATGGAGTACTTCGTACATAAGAATCTCTCTCTCTTTCCTCTTCTTCTTCTTCTCCCTTTTTTTATTTACTCTCCCATCACTCGCTCAATTGGTCATCAACAAGACCGTTTGTCCTTCACTTTTTTTTAATTGTTGTTTTTGGGAGGGACATAGTCTTGAAGTCGAGAAAGTAAAAAAAAAGTAGAGTAATATCTACTACGATTTACTTCCTTTGGTTAATTGTACACCGAGTCTTCCGAATTGGTGAACTTGGAATTCCCTAACAACAATGCATGCGCTCGCTTCACTCACAGCGGCATCTTTGCTGCTTTCCTCGGTCTCTGCCGTCCCCAACCTTCGACGTCGTACTACCACTTCAGCTCTTGATGCCTGGGTCACCGTCGATGAAGAGGGCCAGCCGAGCACTGTCACTCCCCAAGTGACCACCGTGGATGGAACCGCAACCACTATCTCTCCTGCTCCCAACGATGTCACCGCCACTGTCTTTACCCAGACCAGCATGGGGAGAGTGACCACTACCACTGGCACTACTCCTGCCATTCCTACTGCTACCAGTGGTGCCGCCGGTGAATTCCCCGTCTGTCACAACTTGGATGGCGAAAATGCTCCCTGGTGTTCGCCCGCCAATGGGACAAAGGTCTACCCAGGCACTATTTACTACTGTATGTTACAGATATCGGAAATCTCTATTACTCTCCCATGCTTACCAGTTTCATCTAGTTATCTGGGATCCCGACTACTTCGCCCAGCCCAACACCACCGTCATTATCCAGGGCAATTATGTCAATGAAACCACCGGCAACATTACCGACCAGGCCTTCGAATCCCCCAAGACAACTGCAGCTTGGGGATTCTGGAGCCTCAAGATCGAAGACAGCCTGCTGAAATACCAGGCTGCCAAGAATATCACTCTACAACTCGCTAGTGTGGCCCCGGGAAAGAAGGCCACCATCATGACAGGTCCAACCATTGAGGTAAACAGGCTGCCTAGTTATACGCCTGACACGGGAGGGTCGCCTAATCTGAAAGCCCTATACATTGCTCTTCCCACTGTTCTCGGCTTCGTCATCCTATGTCTATTTGGCACCTGTATCTGGAACCGTAAGCAGCGCCATATTGGAGTCGGTAACATCATGTCTCGCAGTCGTAACGGCTACGGTGTGGGTAAAAGCGCACGATCGCGCATGGGTATGGGTAAGCGACGGGAGAAGGGAAATGAGCGTATCCAGTTGATGCAGCGCGAGATGGAGGCCGACGGTGTTGAGCCCTACCATGATGCGCCTGCGCAGGCGCCCGAGCGTCCACGTCGCGACAGTGACGCCTTGGGCAGCCTGGCGGGTACGCCCACTGAAGATCGGCGGATGGATTTCAACCACCCAGGCCGCCAGCCGGGCGCGGGGAACGGCAATCATTTTAGAGACGAACTAAGAAGACAAAATGACGAGAGGTTCTAGTGGAACCTGCTGGCACCTAAAACGCACGAACCGCAATATGAAAAGATTGGGAGCGATGAGGAATGAATGACAGTAATTGACGCAACAAAAGGGACAATGACGACTGGAATGATGGTTGTTATCGCGCACAATCACCATTCCGAACAAATGGGAGAGGAAATGACAATTATTGAACAACACTACTCTAAGTGTATAGTTATGATCTCTGTACGCTCGAGTGTTAATGCCCATAATGTTAGGGACCAACTCTAGGATGAAACGACAACTGATGCTCACGATTTTTTGAGGGTTACAATCAATGAAAACTATTAATATCATCATCAGCATTATCAGGCTTTGCGATATTTTTTATTGTTCCATGTGTCTTAATTTTTTATGTAATGTGGGATATAACTATGTATCTTTTTTCTTTTTCTTTTTTCATCCTCGAGTTTTCTGCTCTGCTTACTGAATGGCGGAGTAGGCATTGAGCGCCAACTGACCACCGAGGTGAGCATATAGCACGTTGCTGCCCTCAGGGATCTCTCCCTTGCGGATCATGTCCATCATGCCCGCCAGACTCTTGCCCTCGTACACCGGGTCCGTGATGAACGCCTCAGTGCGGGCACCGAATCGAATCGCGTCTAGCGTCTGCTCGTCCGGCACACCATACACACCAGCATGATACCGATCATCAAGCTCGATATCCTTCTCCGTGATATCCCCCTCTTCCAGACCAATCTTCACACCAGTCGTCTTCGCGATCCGCAGCACCTGGTCGAAAGTCTGCTTCACCTTCGCGCTCGCATCAATCCCGATCACGCGGCGCGGCTTAGACCCGCACTTTTTCTGCGCGAGCTTGAACCCCGCCACCATCCCCGCGAACGTCGACCCCGTCACGGCGCACACCACAATCGTATCATAGAACACGCCCGACTCGCGCTCCTGCTCCTCGACCTCGAACGCCCAGCGCGCGAACCCGAGGCCCCCCAGCGGGTGGTCCGATGCCCCCGCGGGAATGTAGTACGGGTTCTTGCCCTTGGCCGCAAGCTCGGTCTCCAGCGCCGCCAGCGTGGTCTTGTGCTCGATCCCGAACCCCGACGGGTCCAGCCGCGAGTCCGCGCCCATCAGCCGCGACAGCTGGATGTTGCCCACCGTCGTGTAGTGCGCGTCCGTCCACTCCACCCAGTGCTCCTGCACCAGCGCGCTCGAGAGCCCCAGCTTGGCGGCGACGGCGGCGACTTGCCGCGTATGGTTCGATTGCACCCCGCCGATGGAGACGAGGGTGTCGCAGCCCTCGGCGAGGGCTTCGGAGGCGAGGTACCTGGTTTAGTAAAGCAGGAGGCGTTAGCTTGATTTCTTGTTTTTCTGATCTCGATTTACCCCGCCTTGCCTCTTCTACTCCCTTATGTTTAAGATGGAGGGAGTTAGGAGAGGAAAAAGGGGGGGAATGAAAGGTATCTACTCACTCTAGCTTGCGCGTCTTGTTGCCGCCGTACGCGAGCCCCGAGTTGCAGTCCTCGCGCTTGGCGTAGACGTTGACCTTGCCGCCGAGGGCGGCCGATATGCGGGGCAGGTGCTGGATGGGCGAGGGGCCGAAGAGGAAGGACTCTCGCGGGATGCTGGCGAAGGGCTCGGGGAGTTTGAGGTCCGCCATGATGGTTTCTGCCTTTTCTGATTTATATACACTCTATAGCTCTTGTTAGGATATGATGATGATGATGATGATGATGATGATAATGGTGCACTATGAAGTTCTAAGGAGGCAGGAAGGGGTCAAGGGTTGTACTTACAATCTGAATATTATTTGCCCCGGTGAATCAGGGAAGTGATAGGCGTGCTTGTTAATGTTTACAGTACAAGATATGCACGATATGTAGGGTATCTATGAAGAATGAATAATAAACCAAGAGCAAGGAAGTTAAACAATCACGGTCTCTTCCACTATATCTATCCAGAGGAACAGAGCTGGGCAGGATCATACTAGGCCTTTGAAATATAGCCGTCGGTCGTGATACGACACCGAACTCGGAAGACGACGGCAATGATCTAGTCCCGGTATAGTCTAAGACCTACGGAGGGGAAAGGCGAAGCGGAGATGCGTGTGCATGATGTTTCTTGGTAACCCCTCAGTGGACTCTTTCGCTGACATGTTGGGTTAGGTATGTATGCTATGTACGTATATAGTACGGCTACGGGATCACGTCCCATGTTGAATTTTTGCTTAAACCTCCAATATGCGTTCGAGCCTTGGTCAGCAAGCAAAGCCCGTTACCCATAGCTAGATCTCTTATTAGTATAGTATACTCGTATATCTACAGGTTGCCTCTCCATTAGGGTATTTGAAGGGGTTAGAAACTTGTCCCTAGCCCTCACAAACGGTCCAAAAGCCGATCAGCCGATCAAGGCGAACGCTGATTGGCCAATGGCTCGGTAATAGCGTTTTACTTCATCTTCAATCGTAACAAGAGTTGTTTCTTATCATGAGGATAGGATGGTCAATGTATTTATTCAGTTTTGAAATAACTATTTAGATTATTTGCTATAATAACGGCTCATGTGGTTATCATCGGTTTAATACGTCGACGTTTGGACATTATATATCAAACACCTAACCTAGTAGGTTGTTATATTATGTTGTTATACCCGGAGGACCGAGATTCAGTATTTCCATCCGGTATTCGGGATTCATCACCAAAATGCTTTCATACATTTATTACCTATAGACAACCCCACGTATCCTTCTATTTCCACATGGCTCATCAAGAGCCAAGATAATATTCGATTGGTGGGTTTAACTATTCAAAGTGAAATGTCACTTATTCAATGCTATTTCTTACCCTCGAAAACGTCGGGAATAGTTGACATCAATGCATCATCAAGCGGGGTGGATATAAGTACACTAACTTACATAAATCACTCGACAGTTAAAATATCGTCTGGCCAAGAAAATTATGTATCACGCGCATGATTCAAGGCAACGTTAGTTCCATAACTAACGGGTTTTGTTTTATGTGTGGAGTTATAAAGGAAATAACTTCAACCTCCAGAGTTAAAATACTTGCCTCGGCAAAGTGAGCAAGAGATATCCGTAAAAGGTTTTATGTAATAAAATACTTGGTATTCATACCCCCACTACGATGGATTAGAAAGTTAGAGTGTGAAAGAAAAAAAACAATCCATGTCGGGCAAGAGATATAAAAAGTACCTAGGAACTAAACTCCTTAACTGAAGAGCAAAGGAAAAAAGAATGACCAAGATGGGATTCGAACCCACAATCTTCTGATTCGTAGTCAGACGCCTTGCCATTGGGCCACTCGGCCATCGAGTGCCATCTTCCGTTCTGGAAGCTGTGATGACCTTACATTCTAGAAAGGTATATCATACACAACTCAAAAAAGTTTTTTCTTCCCACCCCCTAGGTTGTGTGGGCGCAAACATTCATCAACCCCACTCTCGGCGCCTACTTACTACTAGTTTATCCCTAATAAAGGGGAGCTAGGAATGTTTCGGCTTGTCATTTATCAAATCGGAAAACACAAAACCATTGTTGATCTGCAATACCATATGCGATCTGGAGGGGTCAATAGGTACATGTATAGTGTACTAGAAGTGGCTCTGAAAAGAGCCAATAGCAAGCCCTGGGCATGCTTCGATATAAGTTAATTCTAATAGGCTAGGAACCTTTAAAGAAAATGTACGAACCTATGTATAAGTGAGTGAACGAACTATCTCTAGTACATACTTATTAGACCCGAGACAAGTTATGCCAGTCAAGAAACCACTAACATTGATCAATATCAATAATTGTGCTTGAATATGGACTAGGATACATGATTCGAATTGAACTCCCTCTATGGTTTACTTATCGATCATATGCTTCGAAACATTTGATGTATGGATTTATTAACTTACAATGTCACGAAACTAGATGCACAAAATTAAAACCAAACTATAGAAAGCAAGGTCCTAGTGTTCGGTCTTGCAAAGTAAAAAATAGGGGGAAGATGAGGCCTTTGGTAAATTTACCATCTGTCATGCTATCTTCCTTAATGTTCATTAAAACCTGCATGACGTGAAAAAGAATGTCAAACCTAATATTAAAGATAAAAAAGCCGGTTTGACTTTTTACTGCTATGAACTCTATAAACATCCTACCTCTACTCCCCTTTTCCATAGATCATCTCCTTCCCATTACACCCTCCTCGCCAAAACCCTCAACCTCACATACCCCAGATTAAACCCCCCTCCCGGCTCCCTACACACCACCTCCAGCACCTCCACCGCCTCCCTTATACAGCTCTCCCTCTCCCCTCCCTCCTCAGGCACAACCTCAAACGACTTCGCCCCAAAAAGCCTCACCCACCCCTCCACGCCCCCCTCATCCGCGCGCGTGGGCCTCCACTCCCTCTCCGCCCTAAGCACCTCCCACCCTTCCCTCTGCATAACGCCCCTAACCCACTCCTCGTCGGGGAAAAACCACGGCTCCGCCTCCCGCGCCCTCTCGATGCCGACGCGCCGCGCCACCGCCATCATGATCGCGGCGCGCATCTCGGCCACGTTGCCCAGGCCGCCCATCTCGAAGGCGAACAAGCCCCCGGGGACTAGAGCCGCGCGGGCGGAGCGGAAGAAGGACGAGGACAAAGATGAAGAGGGAGAAGATGAAGGCGAAAAGGAGTCCCCTTTGAGGATCCAGTGCAGGGCTGCATTGGAGAAGAGTTTCGTGTAGGTGCCTGACTGGAGAGCGGGGGCGGTGGCGAGGGCGAGGGCGTCGAGGACTTTTAGGAAAAGAGAGGGGGGTTAGTTCGTATGTTTTCGATTCTTGCCTATATATATAGGTAAGCAAGTAGATACGCATAACTCACCTTCAAACGAGCACTTCTCCGCGCCCGCCTTCTCGGCCGCCTTCCGCGCTGCCTCGATCATGGCCGGGGAGGCATCGATGCCGTGCACGTGGCCGCTGCCGCGGGAGAGAATCTCGTTGAACTGGATGTTGAGCACTCCGTCTAACAGTTTCCACGTATGAAGTTAGCTTAGTTCAGTCTCCATACATATCATATAGTTCTCGGCACCAAATATATATATATATATATATATACCTAGGTATATATATATTTATCCACGGAGAAAGGCAAAGGAAGTAAAGTAACATAAAACCTACCACCACATCCTATATCCAAGATGACGTCGTCCGGCTGTGGGTCAAGCCATTGCACGATCTTGGTTGCTAGCTTGGGCACGAAAGAGGCTGCATTTTGGTATGCCTGTGTTTTTTATTCATATTAGATACATGTATTATATGAAATCTCATCAGGGGGTATAGGTAGGTTATATAAGTATGGATTCAAATTTCATTTCCTCACCTCGGTCGACCAATCATCCTTTTTTGTCTGTGACATTGCGGTTTGAGATGCCGTTTATAGGAATTGTCAGGTGTGTTGTGGCAATCGATCTGAGAAGAAAAGGGGGAGGAGAAAATTAAGTTACTAGAGGAACCGTTTTGTTGATGAAGACATACACCATTACTACAAATGATCATCTGGTCACATAAACAGCTCAGCCATATTTATATACCTGCTCTTCTCCTCATAGTAAACTTAACTACCTACAGTCAATATGTTAGGTAGGATCTCCGTGCCCGGACCCGGATACCCACAGCCGCTTTGTGTCCCGATCTCGGAGAGGACCAGGGGACGAACGAATTCACCCAAACTAGAGAGTTTGATCTCTCAGAATCAATAAAAAGCCAGTCGGTGTTCATCTCAATTCTCTTGGATCTTTTTAATTATACTTTTCTTTCCTTTTTCTTTCTGCACCTTAAGCCACAGTATGATCCTTCCAGTATTGGTTCCGACATCGCAGCAAAACAGCACAAGGGTATCACGTCTGGTGTTGTGTTCAGAACTATTCCATTTTCCACACTCCGGTAGAACGAATAAACAGCGTAGTGACTTTAGTCGATATCGAGTAGGTCGTACTTGTCATCTCCTAGAGCGTCCTCGACTCTCTTCATTATAGAGAGGACCTTCTCTTCCTCCAGTCTTCTTCCGACGACTTGTATTCCCACCGGTAGGCCGTGCATCGCCTCGGCGTCGTACAGCTTGTAGGCTCCCTGAGCAACTCCGTTTAGCTTTTTTATGCTGAACCCAGAGGGAAGCTTATCAAGCTCCTTATCCACATGCGTGACCGGAAGACATCCGCACGTGTAATCAAGCTGTAGACGCTTATTAGTATTTTATTTATAAGTGCACAATGAGACGGGGATAATACGTACAAGGTTAAAAAGAAAGGTGTAGCCACAACTGCTCACAGCATCCTTCATACCATCATGCGGCACGGCGGGTGTGGCATTTGTAGGCGTGAGCAAGAAATCGAGATTCTCCTTATTCCACCAGTCGTACCACTTGCTTCGGTACGCTTCACGCTTCGCAACCAGTTGCCAGTTCTCAAAGGCGGACTTGGCGTGCCAGTCCTTGACTAGGCCAGCCCAGATGTCATCTTTTCGCACATACTTCACCCATAGATAGTATATATACTTGAACGGCCGGGCGAGTCTCATGAACCAGTCCATTTGGTCAGCACCCGGGTCATTCCACTCGCCATATCGGAAGAATGACTTGAACATTTGGCAGCCATCAGCATTAAGCAAGAGAGAACCAAGGTACAGGGCCTCGTACGGCGAAGGCGGGTCGATTTCGACGATCTCGTGACCGGCCTCTTTCAAGGCTTCCTCGGCCATCTCAAGAGCCCGTCGGCACGCGGGACTTGGATCGACCACTCCATCCGTCCTCATTACACCAACGCGGAATTTCTCCTTTGTAGCATATTCCTCCTCGATTTCTGGTCTCCATGCCAGAGGGTGGACTGAATAGTCGTACTTCCAAGGCTGCATGCCAATTATCGAGCTTGTAAAGTAGGTCAGATCGTTCAGAGTTCGGGTCATAGGGCTATAAACGCTGGGCACGCCTTCTTGACCAGGCATGCTGGTGGCAAAACCCGCCTTGGGCCATCGGCCCGTAGAGCATCTTAGACTGTAAATACCGGAGAAATGAGCAGGAGCTCGGACGCTACCGGCCACATCACTACCAATACCTATCCTCCCGCCTAGAGCCAGAAGGGCAGCTTCACCACCAGTTGATCCACCAGGTGAGTACTTGTTGTTGTGGGGGTTGGTACACCGCCCCCAAACATCATTTGTGGACTCAAAACTGAGCAGTGTAATGGGCAAATTGGTCTTGACATAAGGCACAGCTCCGGCGTCTTTGAGTAAGCGGGCAACAGGACCATCTTCAGCCGGCTTGTTCCCAACAAAACTACTAAAGCCCACAGTTGAATCGAACCCCCCGACGTTAATCGTGTCTTTCAAGCTGACGGGGATACCAGCCAAAGGCCCCTGGGTATTAATGGAACCGTCACTGATCCATCCCTCGGCGGCCGGGATCATCACCTCGGTAAGACAGTTTGTCTTCTCGTGGGCTTTTAGGGCGACCTTCCCGTAGGTGTGGAGGAGGTCTATTGGCTGGATTTCGCCATTTCGGACACCTTCGACGAGCTCCTGGATGGGTTTGTCTATGACCTCGCGGTCTTGAGGGGTGAAGGGCTCGTGATACCGCGTAAGGGCTCGAATCCGTTCTGCTCGTTCATTCTGCTTGAACTGGCTGTGTCTCTGTGTAAGTCATATAACTAACTTTGGTTTTCTTCTCTTATATTCTATTTGATCTTGTTTCATTTTATTTTGTCCCAACATATTGGAGAAGTTGGAGAATGTCTTTGCTTACCAGTCTCGTTTGTGTTGGAGATAATCGAGGATAAAGACCATGGTGACTTATACGGGATTAAGATAGGGAGATAGGGAGATAGGGAAGTGTGGTGGTAGATTGTGTAACTATGACATTGGTGTGATGTGAAGTATCCGAGGATTGGGAAGAAGGAGGGAAGCAACAAGGAGGGCCCAGAACTGCCAGACCATCGAGTTTAATAGTAGCTACCCAACCTAACTTTGGTAGAGAAGGAACCAATGGTTCGGTACCTTACGTACGTACATACATACATACATACATAACCTACATAGGTAGTACCTACCTACCTAAGTGAATATCTCGGGGTACGGAGGCATGCAAGTGCAACTCCACCAATACTCCGTACGGGGTAAGCTTCTTGTAAAACTCGAGCTATCTTTCCCTCTCCGCATGAACCCGCATTCCTCAATCTGTCCTATCACCGTCTTTGATTAACTTAGAAGGAAGTCTCACTCTGACCTTTTTTGACTTTTGACTTTGACGCCCCGATCTTGACCGTTATCATCGTGCCGGGGATAACCGTA